TCTAATGAGATTAGGAGAAAGCTAATCTAATCTACAGATAAGATAAGGGTTTATCCTTATCACCTGAAGAGAAGGCTGATCCAAATATGATTTGGATAAGCAGCTCTTAATGAGATTAGGAGCTGATCTTTCTAGGTTAACAAAAAGTAGAAAGGGGGCGACAGCCTTTAGGAGACACACATCAGATTTTCTTCAGTGCTGAAATCAAGAAAAGAGAATTCTGCACCCTGCGAATACTCTCTTGCCGCCTCCTTGTTCTAGTCACCCTGTTTGCCAGTTCGATCTCCAGTTGTGGGAGAAGTCAAGATTGGATCTTGACATCAGTTCTTTGAGACAGGATTGAAAGGAAACTATGCTCACGTGCCATCCTGCTGATTCTTGCAAAGGACAGAGTTCTTGGAGAAGAACACTGCTGATTCTGCTCCATCCTACACTGCGTCATCTTCAGTGGGAGTAGTCTTTGGATCCTTCCTTGGGCGTGAACACCTTCGTTGGGAGATACTATTTCTCCGGATCAGGTACAATCCTCTTTTACTCCTTTTGGTTCAGATCTGGTTCAGTTTATGGTTCAAGAATGATCATTGAAAATATGATTTTCTAAATAGGGAATGYGATTCYCAGTTGAAGGGAGAGAAAAATTTTTGAAATTCGCCCCCTTATTCCACAATCTTTGGGCGTCCATGGGATGGATCTCTCATCCCTTCAAAGGGTGCTCCAGGTCGTGATTTGTTATACCAAAAGGGAGGAACTCTTGAGATAGTAGGGTACACAGATGTTGATTGGGCTGGCTCTATATTAGACAGGAGATCAACCACAGGGTATTGTACCTTCCTGGGTGGCAATTTTGTAATTTGGAAGAGCAAGAAGCAAACAGTGGTGGCAAGAAGTAGTGCGGAAACAGAGTACAGGGCTATGGCCCATACCACATGTGAAATAGTATGGCTGAAGAACCTACTACAGGAGATGGGATTCTCAATTGACAAACCCATGAAACTATATTGTGATAACCAAACTGCTGTTCACATCTCATCCAATCATGTCTTCCATGAAAGAACTAAACATATTGAGGTGAATTGTCACTTTGTGAGAGAGAAAGTGATAAGTGGGGTAATAACTACATCTCATGTGAGCTCAGGAAATCAGTGGGCAGATCTCTTCACAAAAGGATTGTCTCGGGGAAGAATAGATTACATTTGTAACAAGGTGGGACAATATGATATATACTCTCCAGCTTGAGGGGGAGTGTTAGAATGCTCGAGTCAGGGGTATTTTGGTCATTCTGGTGTATCTTATTGAAAGTGAAATGTCTATTGTATCTGAGTTTAAGTTATGTGTCCCATCTTCTATGAGGGACAAAATTGTCTTTCTTGTAACTTAAGTTTTATGAATAAAAGTCAAGTGGGTCGGCTAGGAGAGTGACTTTTGAACATCCTCTCTTCTAGTCTGGCCGAACACTTTTCTCCTCTCCTTCTTCTTCTTTCTTCTTTCTTCTTCTCTACTTTGACCTAGAAACAACTAGGGTTTATTCACAAAGATAAAACAGTACCCAGATACTTGACAACTAGGGTTTCACTGCACTCGGCTGTTGGGGAGAAAGAGAGAAGATGCAGCCGCTCCTACCAGAGCTTCCCAACCTCTTTTAGGACTTAACCGCACACTTCTAGAAGTCAAAATATACCTCCCAAGCACTGAGCGCCACACCAAAAGCTTCTCCTTTACCTGTGACTTCAAAACTCTCTAATCGGCTAGGGTTTTGAGCAGAAAAAAATACAGCATCACTTCTTGGCAGTTTTTGTCTAGACTTCAACTCTCCAAACCCTCTACCAACTAGGCAAAAGATCCACTGAACTATAGGGAACTTATCTCTCTATACACTCTCCTAATCGAAGGGTGTATAGGGAAAGAGAAAAAGAAAAAAAAGAGAAGGGAGAAACTTGCTTTGATACCAAGAAGTAAATCAATCCTCTAAAAATGATATAAACTTAATGAAAATTAGAGAGAAAAGTGGTAGATAGGTAGAAGACAGCAGTACAACGGAAGAAGATGGAGAAAAGAAGATGAAGGAGAAGAAGAGTTCGATTATATCCTCTCTCCCCTCTCTAATCCTTTTGTTAATCTTCATTTCACTAAGATTATTACAAGTATGCCCTTAAGTGGGTGACCAGCTAAGCAAAACTTAAAGCAAGCTTATAAAAAAAGAATTAATAGGTCCATTAACAAACAAATAAGTAACACACTACAAAAAATAAAAGAGTGGATACTAGGGCCCATTCGGCCCTGTCTCTCTACTGGCTAATTTTTTTTTATCCTATGAGAATATTTCACCATCTTTCCGTGCCTTCCTTTCAGCCATTGAGTGTTCCCATTCCTATACGTGGTGCAGAAGCTTTGTCAGTTCCTAAATGGACAAATTCTATAAAGGAGGAAATTGATGCCTTACATAAAAATGGCATGTGCGAGTTAGTAGATATTCCTGAAGGAAAGAACCTATGGGGTGCAAATGGGTGTTTTCAGTGAAACACAAGGCAGATGACATAGCTAAGAGGTACAAAGCATGCTTGGTGGCAAAAGGTTACTCAAGTGTATGGGGTTGATTATGTGGAAACCTTTACCCTTGTTAGCAAAGATGAACTCTATTATTCAAGTCCTCTCTCTTGCAGCAAGTCTAGATTGGGAAGTCCATCAATTAGACATTAAAAGTGCTTTCTTGAATGGTGATTTAGAGGAACTGTAGATGAACCAACCTCCTGGTTTCTGTGGAAAAGGTAATGAGCAAAAAGTTTGCAAGTTGAAGAAGTCATTGTATGGGTTGAAACAATCTCCTAGGGCTTGGTTTAGTAGATTTCACCATGCGGTTCAATATATGGGCTTCAAACAATGCCAAACTGACCACACATTCTTTGTGAAGAAAGAACAAGGGAAAATTGCAGCTTTAATAGTCTATGTGGATGACATTGTTATCACTGGTTATTGGGTCTTAGAGATACAGAGGTTGAAGAAGTTATTGGCCACATTGTTTGAAGTGAAGGATTTTGGAGAGTTACTTGGAATTGAGGTTTCCTGCTCTCAACAGGGCATCTTCATCTCCCAAAGGAAGTATACTCTTGACCTTCTCAAGGACATTGGGAAACTAGGTGCCAAACCAGTTGACAGTGTGAAGCACTAACTCGGGGACTGTAGTGATGAGCCCATAAAGGATGCAAAATAGTACCAAAGACTTGTTCGAAAATTTGTATTTTTGTATTTTTGGATAGTAGGGGTATTTTTGTCATTTTGCATTTTTTGTGGAGTCCATTGATAGAGTTTAATTTGTATACTTATAAATTGTTTATGTTTAAAATTTCAAAGTCATTGCATAAGTAGGATTAAAGTTATTGGGTCTTCTTTAAATTGAAATAGGACATGACAACTTAATTTCAGTCATACTAGGATTATTGAGTCTAACAGTTCGACTCCTAAGATTATTATGAGTCTAACAGTTTGACTCCATAGGATTATTATGAGTTAAGAGTCTATAAATATGTAAGGACGTTTTACACAAAGACAATGAATTATATTGAGTTTTCTTCAGCTTATGCTAGCTATGGTGAGTGATTCTCATGCCCTAGAGTGATTCTAGGCACCTTGTGAGTGATTTGAGGTCATTTCTCTCTTCTTTCTCCCCCTATGTTCTCTCTTATTCCTTAAAGAAACCATTACAGCCATCAACAACCATAAAACTTTGATCAAGTGGACCATTCAACATTCTCTAAGGACTAGAATTGAGCTGGTCCTACATCACTAGGCCTGATATTGCATATGCCATGGGAGTCCTCAATCAGTTTATGCATGCCCCCAAGACTGCACACCTTGAGGCAGCAGATAGAGTTCTTAGGTACCTAAAAAAATTCCCTGGGACTGGTCTCTTCTTTAAAGTTGAAGTTTATATTGATGCTAATTGGGCTGGTTCAATGGATGACAAGAAATCTACTAGTGGTTATTGTACCTTTGTAGGTTAAAACCTTGTTACTTGGAGAAGTAAGAAACAAACTGTGGTGGCTAGATCTGGTGCAGAAGTAGAGTATAGGGACATGGCTCATGGTGTTGTTCAACTCTTGTGGATTACAAATCTGCTAGGAGAATTGGGTTTTCCTCTTGTTGGTCCTATGTCACTCTATTGTGATAATAAGGCTGCCATCAATGTTGCAGCCAATCTAGTGCTCCATGACAGAACCATGCATATTGAGGTAGATAAACACTTTATTAGGGAGAAACTAGAGAAAGGAGAAGTGTGCACTCCTTATGTTAGTACTGAAGAACAATTTGCAGATTTTTTTACCAAAGGATTGAATTCCTTGTGGCGTTATGATCTTTGTGACAAGTTGGGGATGATTGACATCTACACTCCAACTTGAGGTGGAGTGGTGTATTATGTTAGCTTTGTACCCGTAGGGTATTCTAGTCTTTTTTTCTTCCTTTGATGTTATGTATGATTGCCCTAATATATAAATAGAATAGCTGGTGCCGCTAGCACTCCTTTTGCCTCTCTCACATTTTTTTCTTCTCTTCTCTTCTTCTCCTCTCCTCTTCTTCTCTTCTTCACTTCTTCTCCTTGGAAAACAGATACCATTGCTTTACAATTTTTTGGCCATAACCAATAACTAGGGAACGAAGGATCATTTTGTATTAGACCTTCGGTAGGCATCAATAGATTATTTTTGTTAGCTTCGAATATGTTTATTTTTATCAAAAGTGTAACTTTTAATATGTCTAATGTAAAGTTATTGAACCTTTCTTTTTTATTTCTATTCACCATTCACGTATCTTTCTTTGTGACTGTCATAACCATACATACTCTAGACTTAATATTGCTTTTCCACATTGTTTTTTGTTTCACATATATGCACCAATTCTAAGTGTTGCCACCTATCTGTATTTTATTGTTTATTCTGGAATGGTATATACAATGATTATCATTGTTCCTTTTGGTATGTTAGTGACATATATTTCAATTTTACCAGGGCCGTTGCTTTTAATTCATTGTCGGGACCAATTCCAGAGGAGCTTGGAACCCTTAAGGATCTAATTGTTTTGTGAGATATCCTTGTAACCCTTTTTCTAAGATAAAAAATAAATTAGTATGAAAAAACATGTAATAAATCTAATGATGATTGAAAACCTTTAGGACCTAATTATCTTGTTGGATATCCACATATTTTTTTCTCTAAGATAACTAACACAAATTCTTCTGAAAATTGGTATTTGACTAGAGTTTGATACATCCATATTGAATGTCAAGGTTTGAAGTTCGACTGGTCAAGCATGGGTTGGGTGGATTAAGCCATGTGTTAAGATGCATATCATCTTATTAAATCTTCAAGCACCCTAGGGAAAAAAGAATTCTATATTAGAAGAGTAGAGAAAGTTGTTTTCACCTCTTGAATGGTAGTGATGCCAAATCATATGTATTTTGAATGACATGATACAACAGGAAACTAAAATTGAAGTGATACACTTGTTCCTTTTCTCTTGGGAGACAACAGTGTTTAAAGTTCTTTTTTTGTTTGTTCCTCTTGTTTTTAGAGAAACTTGAGGTAAAATAGTGTTGAAAGGCAATAGACCTATGTTCCCTACTATATTATACCTCTAACAACTTTTTCTCAAGTCTCATTTATGTTTAGACTATCTAATAAAATCCTACTGCCCAACACTCTAAAAAGTTGGGACCACTTGTCTCAAAATTGCTCTTGGGCCTCGTGAGAGTGGAACCACATTTATTTACAAGTGATTAAATAATGGAAGCCTTCTTAGGCCCATTAATAAGGTTTATTTTAAATTGGTGCCCATTAAAATTGTTCTTAGACCCCTTTCTCTCTTTCTTTCTTTCTTTCTTTCTTTCCTTGCCTCAGATTGGAATACTAGTCAAGAGATAACCATCTATAGCCTTGTGCATGAGCCTTGGCTGATTATGGTTCCTTGTTCCATCTTAACTCATAAAATCACTATTTTATATGTAAGGAGACGACCATCTATATCCTTGTCCATGAAACTTGGTTGAGTATGGTTCCTTACTCCTTTTTTCTCCACTTTAACCCATGGAATCATGACTTTATGTGAGGGAGAAAATCGTTTACAACTTAGTTTATAAAACTTGGTTGATTATGGTTCCTCACACCATGATAATACATAAAATCATTATTCAAAGGCCATCTACAACCCTATTCATGAAATTTGGCTAATTATGGTCCCTTCTTGATTGTTTTGTATAGAGACATTTTATTTATTTATATTTTCTGGTTTCCTCTCAAATAAAGAGGGAATATACACCAAAATTTTGAAAATTCTATAGTGAAATTTTACTTTGTTTTGCTTAGTACTTCTAAGCTGGAATCAAGAGGTTTTCTCTGCCCCTAGCAAAGATGTAATTAAAGGAATGTCTACATGATTTATTAAATGGGACTTACCCAAATATCAAAAAGCGTAGTTATTAGTTTAATTGGCCAATTGAGTGAATCATGTTATGTGAGAAATTATACTAAATTTTTTCCACTAACATCCTGTTAGAGTTGACAGTACAAGGGCATTAAGTCATTTGTCTTTCTAATTAAGGTTGAGTTGTCTATTTTGTCTAGGTTTAAGTTGTGTGTCCCATACTTAATGAGGGACAGATTTGTCTTTGTAATCTAATACAAAGAGTATAAATATAAAGTGGGTCGGCTAATAGAGTGTGACTTTTTACCTATCTCAGACCTAAGATTGTACTAGTGTTAACTGAATCATTCACATGGTATCAGAGCACTAGAAAATACTAGAACTCAGTTTTTTTTCTCTGTATTATATGTACCCAAAATTCCCTTTAACCTTATGTCTGTTAGCAGATTAATCAAGTCACTTAATTGTTTTATAACCGTTTATCACTCTTCTTGTGTGTTTCAGGATATCAAGACGGGGATGAAGATTGGTGGAGGGCATGAGGCAGGTGGATTGTATTACCTTAATGGTGGTGGTCCAAAAGTTGCTCTTCAGTCTTCTCTTACTTTTCTCCAATGACATTGCAGACTTGGTCATCTGTTGTTCAAAGCCACGAAGTTATTGGTTCCGTCTTTAAGTCATCTTCCATCGTTGGATTATGAGTCGTGTCATCTTGGGAAACACTAGAGAGTCTCTTTTAGTCCTAGAACTGATAGTCGTTCTTTGAGTCATTTTTCTTTAGTTCATTCAGATGTTTGGGGTCCAAATAAAGTAGTATTGTACAATGGGTACAAGTGCTTTGTAATTTTTGTTGATGATTATTCAAGGATTTGTTCTCCATTTCCCAAAAATTTCATGCTGAAATTTGTACCCAATTGGGTGTTCATATTAAAATTCTTCGCTTAGACAATGCAAAAGAATACACCTTAACACCATTTCAGCAATATTAGAGTACCATGGGGTAATTCACCAAACTTCTTGTTCTTATACCACACAAAAAAATGGCATGGCTACGAAAGAACTGTCACTTACTTGAAATTGCTTGATCTATTATGCTTGATATGAATGTTCCAAAGAGTTTTAGGAGTGATGATGTCCTTACATAATGTTTTCTCATCATTGAATGCCCATGTCTATCCTTGGAAGTCAGTTTCCTTTCTTAGTCTTGTTCTCTACTCTTTCTTTATTCCTTCTTACTCCCAAAGTCTTTGGTTGTGTTTGTTTTGTTCAGAATTTAGGGCCTAGGTTGGACAAGTTAGATGCATGTGCTACAAAATGCATCTTTATTGGCTACTCTAGAACCTAGAAAGGGTATAAGTGTTACAACCCTAGCTCTCATCGGTTCTTTGTGTGTTTTGGTGTCACTTTCTTTGAGTCTGTTCCATTCTTTTCTAGTTATGATGTTCCTCCTTCTCCTTTGTTTCCTTTTCTAGTTCTAGTTGAGGACCCCTTCTTACGGTTCTTGTTGTGTCTTAGCCATCTCCTCCAATGCAGATTAATACTAAAAGGCCACCAATCACACAAGTGTATACTCATAGAAGAGCACCGGCCCCTCCTCCAGTTCAGCCCTCGTCGACGGATCCTATTGTTGTACCTCATCCTTTTGACCTTGATCTTCCTATTGCATTGCGGAAAGGTAAATATAGTTGTACATTTCATCCTATTTCCCATTATATTTTTGTTGCTCACCTTTCTACTTCCTATCGATAGTTTTTATCTTTGTTATCATCTATTTCCATTCCTAAGAATGTCCAAGAAACCATTACCTCTCTAGGGTGGTGACAAGCAACGAAAGATGATTTGTCTACATTGGCACACAATTGCACGTGGGAATTTTGCCCTCTTCCTTCTAGTAAACATGTTGTTGGATGTAAGTGTGTATACATAGTAAAATATCTTCCAGATGTTAGTGTGGAGCTGTTGAAAGGTAGGTTAGTGGCCAAAGGCTATTCTCAACTAGATGGTGTTGACTATACAGAGACATTTTCTCCTATGGCTAAGATTGGTTAAGTTCGGGTGTTGATTTCTTTAGCAGCAATGTATGATTGGCCCCACTTTCATCTTGACATAAAAAATGCATTCTTACATAGTGATCTTGTTAAGGAAGTATATATGGAGCAACCACAAGAGTTTGTTGCTCAGAGGGAGGATGGTAAGATTTGCAGACTTAAGAAGGCAATTTATGGGCTGAAACAATCTCCACATGCATGGTTTGGCAAATTTAGTGAAGTAGTGAGGGACTTTGGCATGAAATAGTGCCCGGTAGACCATTCTGTGTTTAGTTATGAATAAGAAGTTGGGAAGATTTTGTTAGTGGTGTATGTGGATGATATTGTCATAATTGGTAGTGATTGCAATGGGATTGATAGGTCGTATAACTTTCTACATAATCACTTCCACACAAAAGATTTGGGTAAACTGAAATATTTGTTAGGACTAGAAGTTGCAAGGTCAAGGTATAGTATTAATTTGTGCCAAAGAAAGTATGTCCTTAATTTACTTGAAGGAACTGGGTTGTTGGGTGCCAAACCAGTTGAAACACCCATGGAACCAAATGTCAAGTTGAGTATTGATGCAAGTGAAGAGTTTGATGATCTTGGAAGGTACAGGAGGTTGGTGGGTAAATTAAAGTACCTAACTATTACTCGACCAGCTATATCATTTGCAGTAAGAATGTTGAGTCAGTTTATGCAACATCATCAAGTTCCACATTGGGAGGTAGTTCTAAGAATTGTTAGGTACTTGAAGGGTGCTCTAGGTTGTGGACTATTATACAATAGTGGAGGAACTCGTGAGATAGAGGGGTATACAAATGCTGATTGGGCCAGATCTGTGTTTGACAGGAGATCCACTACAGGGTATTGTACCTTCCTTGGTGGCAATCTGGTAACTTAGAAGAGCAATAAACAAACTTTGGTAGCAAGAAGCAGCGCTGAAGTTGAATTCAGGGCCATGGCTTATACTACATGTGAACTAGTGTGAGTTGTACTGCAATGGAGTTCTCAGTTGCTAAACCCATGAGGTTGTATTGCAATAACCAAGCTGTTGTCTACATTTCTTCTAATCCAATCTTTTACGAGAGAACAAAGCATATTGAAGTTGATTGCCACTTTGTAAGAGAAAAGGTGATGAGTGGAGTTATAAATACAACTCATGTGAGTTTAGGAAATTAGTGGGCAGATTTGTTTACAAAATGGTTGAATCGGGGAAGAGTGGATTACATATGTAACAAGCTGGGACTATATGATATATACTCTCCAGTTTGAGGGGGAGTGTTAGAGTCGTTAGTACAAGGGTAGTTAAGTCATTTGTCTATCTTATTAAGGTTGAGTTGTCTATTTTGTTTGGGTTTAAGTTGTGTGTTCCATATTTAATGAGGGACAGATTTGTCTTTTGTAATCTAATACAAAGAGTGTAAATATAAAGTTGGTTGGCTGAGAAAGTGTGACTTTTCCTCTTCTCAGACTGAACCCTTTCTCCTCTTCTTTCCTTCTTACCTATCTCAGACCTAAGATTGAACTAGTGTTAATTGAATCATTCACACATCCCCTTCACCAAAAATTATAATATCATTTGCAAATTGGTGGTGAGTGACTAGAATATTGTTTTTGCCCACTCTCCACACCTTGCTTTAGAGAGGAGTCTAGTACAAATATTAGCTATTAGAGTATAACGGAAAGGTCAAAGGGCATCACCCTACCTTAACACTGTATTGGTTGGAAAGAAATCTTTCACCACTCCATTAACGAGGATGGAATAATGACAAGAATGGAGGCACCCAAGCACCCAATTGCACCATCTCTCCCCAAATCCATGATTTTTTATCACCCCTAGTAGGAAAGTCCAATCCACCCTGTCATATACTTGGAAAAAGTCCAATTTGTAAGAAGAGCCTTCCTTTCTAGATCTCTTCATTTGCTTTGCACATTCATTTGCTATTTGGATTTAATCAATTTTTAGTTCCTTAAAGTTAGCTGGTGAGAGAAGTATTGCTTTAATCTTTCAAGATAGTATCTTAGCTATTATTTTGTATATATTGGTCACCTAAGTTAGGGGTCAGAAGTATTTAGGTTGACTTTCATTAAGTTTTTTCGGGATTAAGTTTAGAAAGGTTGCATGACTCTAATGCTGATGATATGTTTATTTGAGAATCCCTTAAATGCTTCACTAACTCATTTTTCGGCAGTTCCCAATAATCCTAATAGAATGCCATTGTAAATCCATCCGGTCTTAGGGCTTTAGATCAATCCATAGAAAAGATTGCCTTTTTATTTCATCTTTCTCAAAGTCCCTTTCTAACCATCTTGCTGCCTTGTCACCTAATAATAACCTCTAACACTTTTAATTGCATTTTTTCACCCTGTAAATGGATTTGAAATGGTCCACTCAAATCTCAGTTTTCTCTTCTGAATTTGAGATTAGTTCCTCGTTTATCTCCAACCTAGACAGAATGTTCTTACTTCTTCTACCATTGGACAAAACATGGAAGAATTTTGGATTCCCATCCCCTTTCTTAATCCATTTATGCATTGATTTTTGTCTCCAAAAATTTCCTCCTTGTAAAGGAGTTCTTGCAACTCTTTTTCAACTTCCATCGTAATCCCTTTTTCTTCCACTTTAATGTTTCTCTAGTTTTCTACCTCATCCAATTCTTCAGTTTGAGACATTAGATTATGCTTACCTTCTTCTATTCTTCCAAAGTTCTCTATTCCACTCCAATAGTTTTCAAGGTGCTAGGGCGAAGCTAGGCGATAAGGGAGTGTTTTGTCACCTAGTTGCCTAGGCAGGCACATCGGCATTGCTTAGGCAATGAATTTTTTAAAATAAAAAAATATAAATCCTAGGGTAGTTCCCTAGGTTTCATAGTAATAAGTATTAGAATGCTCGAGTCAAGGGTATTTTGGTCATTCTGGATTATCTGCTTGAGAGTGAAAGGTCTATTATATCTGAGTTTAAGTTATGTGTCCCATCTTCTATGAGGGACAAAATGGTCTTTCTTGTAACTCTATGTTTTTTAATAAATACAAGTGGGTCTGCTAGGGGAGTGTGATTTTTACTCTCTTCTAGTCTGGCCGAACTCTCTTTCTCTTCTTCTTCTTCTTCTTCTTTCTCTTTTCTTTCTTCTTCTCTACTTCGACCTAGAATCTGCTAGGGTTTATTTACATGGTATCAGAGCTGTAAGATTGTATCCTCATTTCTTTCTTGCTGCTGTTCTCTTTCTGGGTTCGCCGCCAACTTTCACAGTCATCTTCTTCTTTTTCGACTGACCTGAGTGGAGGTTCGATAAGGGGCTTTAAAGGAGCTGTCGTTTTGTGGGCCTGGAGGTGAGAATGCCTCCGGTCGTTGCTGTTGTGGTCGTTGAAGTGGTAATATAAACCCTCTATTCAGTATCGAAGAGGGMTGAATGTGGACAGGTATGAACACTATTGTTGTTTGTCCAAGTAAGGGACTGTGAATGTTCTTTTTGCTTCAAAAGTTGGTTGTGGTGATGCTCGGTGTGACTGATATGCATTTCAGCTGTGTTCCTCTGCATTTTTCTTCATATGTATGCTGAAAGAAGAGTTGTCGACTGCCGAAGTTCACAACAGCAGTAGATTAGTGGTGGTTGTGTCGTGGTGATTGGTGTATCTATGTTTCTAAATATTTAAAAGTYGATCTCCTGGACCTTGTGTGTAATCAGTTCTGCAGTGTGCAGCCCAAGTGTTTGATGTGAAGACTGAGTGATTTCAGTCTTAGTGTGTTGATGGTGAATGGTTCTGCAGTGTGCAGCCTAGGTGTTTGATGTGAAGACTGAGTGATTTCAGTCTTAGTGTGTTGATGGTGAATGGTTCTGCAATGTGCAGCCTAGGTGTTTGATGTGAAGATTGAGTGATTTCAGCCTTAGTGTGTGGTGTGTAATGTGTATTTAAAGAAGCTGGAGTTGGTGGTGTTATAAGTGAGATAAGCATTGTGAAAGAGTGTGAGGTTGTGTTGTATATTTGAAGGTGGAATAATTAAGATGGCTTCATTTGAAAATGGGAATGATAACAAAACAGTTGTCATGCTTTCTCCAGACAATCTAAGTGTTCAAATGACATCCWTCAAGTTGAATGGTGAGAATTATGTACCATGGGCAAAATCTGTGGAGGTGTTCTTGAAGGCCTAGAGGAAGGTAAAACATGTAAGAGAGGAGAAACCTCCCTCTGGGATTCCCCTGGGTTCAGTGACTGGGAACAAGAAGATGCACAGATAATGGCATGGCTCTGGAACAGCATGGAACAAAAGATTAGTGTGAACTTCATGTTCCTAGATACAGTTAAGGAAATCTGGGATCATGCTAAGAAGTTGTACTCTGGACAAGACAATACAACTAGGGTGTATCAGTTGTACCAAGAGTACTTCAATTTGAAGCAAGGGAGTCAAAGCTTAGAAGAGTACTATGCAAGTTTGAGGAACATTCGTAATGAGCTCAATRTGTATCATCCTCTAACATCAGATGTTCAGATCCAACAACAACAACGTGAGCAGCTTGATGTGACAAGGTTTCTTGTGGGGTTGAAGGCTGAGTATGAGCCTGTCAGAGCACAAATATTGGGAGGATCTGCTCTTCCCTCACTTGAAGAAGTTTTTGCTCGTCTTAAGAGGACATCCATTGAGTCGGTAGAACATTCTTCTCTCTGACAGATCTGGTTTGGTAGTGACTAAAGGGGGTGGTCGTGGAAATAGAAGTGGTGGTGTCAGGAGTGGACTCCCAAGCAACCGTGGTGGTCACATGTTTAGCAGGGCCAGTGGTCGGACTGGAGGCCAGGACTCAGGGGGAGCCCGAGGAAGAGGAAGGAGTAATACTCAGAGAARGTGTACACATTGTGGTTTAGAGGGGCACACAGTTAATTTCTGCTATGATTTGCATGGTCCACCCAACACTTGGGCTAACCATGCTATGACTAAGGGTAGTGACACAATTACTGAAAGTCAGCAAACTGACACAATCCCCTCCACATCTACCTGTGCTTCTAAGAAAGAAATGGTGAGTGTACCATGTGCAGTATATGAGTAGTTCATTCAAACATCTCAGCAGAACTCTGCTACACTTGCCCATTTAGGTATGGCTTGTTTAGCTTCCAAAGCCTCACACTAGATCATTGACTCCGGGGCCTCGGACCATATGTCTGGGACTCATGATGTATTTTCTTCCCTTTCCCACTCCTCCACATTTCAAACAGTTACACTTGCTAATGGTTCTACATCTCCTATCTGTGGTGTTGGTGATGTTAATCTCTCCTCCTTGTCTTTATCATCTGTTTTATATGTCCCTAAGTTCCCTTTTAACCTTATGTCTGTTAGCAGATTAACCAAGTCTCTTAATTGTTCTGTAACCTTCTATCCTTCTTCTTGTGTGTTTTAGGATCTCAAGACGGGGAGGAAGATTGGTGGAGGGCATGAAGCAGGTGGATTATATTACCTTGATGGTGGTGGTCCTCYAGTAGCTTTTCAGTCATCTCTTACTCCTCTTCAATGGCACTGCAGACTTGGTCATCCTTCTCTCARGGCCTTGAAGTTAYTGGTTCCWTCCTTGAGTCATCTTTCATCRTTAGATTGTGAGTCATGTCAATTGGGTAAACATCATAGAGTCTCATTTAATCCAAGAGTTGATAGTCGTGTCTCAAGTCCTTTTTCTTTAGTTCATTCTGATGTATGGGGTCCAATTAAAGTGGTGTCATACAATGTGTATAAGTATTTTGTAATCTTTGTTGATGACTTTTCAAAGATGACATAGATTTATCTTATGAAAGATCATAGTGAGTTGTTCCCTATTTTTCAAAAATTTTATGCTGAAATACGCACTCAATTTGGTGTTCATATTAAAATTCTTCDCTYYGATAATGCCAAAGAATACAACTCCTCACCATTTCAGCAATACCTAGAACATCATGGGATCATTCATCAAACTTCTTGTGCCTACACCCCACAACAGAACGGTGTAGCTGACGGAAAAATTGACATCTTCTTGAAACTGCTCGTTCCTTGATGATTAATATGAATGTCCCAAAGTATTTTTGGAGTGATGCTGTTCTCACATCTTGTTTTCTGATCAATCGGATGCCCATGTCAATCCTTGGAAGTCAATCCCCTTTCTCCGTGTTGTTTCCCACTTTRTCTCCATTTCCTCTTACCCCAATAGTCTTTGGCTGTGTTTGTTTTGTTCAACACTTGGGGCCTGGGGTAGACAAGCTAGATGCTCGAGCTACTAAGTGTATCTTTCTTGGCTACTCAAGGACTCAGAAAGGGTATAAGTGTTATAACCCTAAATCTCATAAATCGTTTGTGTGCTCGTTTGTGTGCTCTGATGTCACCTTCTTTGAATCAATTCCGTTCTTCTCAGATGCTGGGGTCTCTTCCTCTCCCTCTGTGGTTCCCCTTCTTGTACCTGTTGTGGACATCCTTCCAGTAGCTCCTGTTTCTACTGCRGATGCACATCCTATGCCTGTTACTACTGAGAGGCCGCCAATCACTCAAGTGTATACCCGCAGAAGTGCATCGAGCCCTCCTCCACTTCAGTCCCTGTCGACAGATCCTGCTACTGCTCATTCTCCTTCAGATCCTGATCTTCCTATTGCTCTGCAGAAAGGTAAACATACTTGTACTTCTCACCCCATTTCACACTATGTTTCTACTGCTCACCTTTCTGCTTCTCATTGMAAATTTATATCATTACTCTCATCTGTTCCCATTCCCAAGACTGTC